CGGAGGGCGGAACGGATTAACCATTTTTACATTGAACCTTATGGGAAACTTAACCTCGACTTGCAACCAACTCGAGTTGCAACCAGAGTCACGGAACGGATTAAGTTCGTAACTAGAGGTACCACTCTATAATTAAAGAAAAAGAAATAGCAGCCAAATAGAAGAAACTTCAAAATAATGACAACCATCCAGACCTTCCTTACTTCCCAACCTCCATGCCTGGGCAAACAGTCAGATCTTAAGTGCTTTCTGGAAGGCCAGCAGGCTTGGTGCCAAGGCGTTTCAGGGGCAGGCACCGCATGCAAAAAGGCACACTTCCTGGGTCCCACAAAGTGATAGGGACCTGGAGCGTGCCCTTCCTACAAGATCTAATAGGGTGAATAGAGACAACTGGAGAGAGGCAGTCCTTCAAGTATCCTGGCCCCATGCCATGAATTCAGTCTATGCGTGTGTGTGCATGTGAAGATGATCCACTTAAAGTAGTGGTACAGAGCCTTCTGGAGGATGTAGTTATCTCAGTACTTTGAGAATGGACAGTGCTTTGAACCAATGTATTTTTACAAAACCCCTTCAAATACTTTGTGCAGCCCTGTAATCACATCCATATTATGGTGTGTATGGCCTAGGGCCTGACTATTTGAGGGACCGTTTATCTCCACTCATCTCTGCACTTCCATATAGTCCGGAAGGGTGGAGGTGCTCTGGGTCCCATCAATTGAAGAATTTTATCTTGTAGACCCAGGAAGCATACCTACTGTGTTGCAGTTCCTGCCCTTTGGAATGATCTGCCCTCAAAGATTTGTGTGGCTCCCATCTATATCTTGTTTAGGAAATCACTAAAGATCTGCTTATTCTCCTAGACCCTGGGGACAGGGTGATTGTAGAGCCCCCTTTTGTTTTGCTTTGGTCTGGTCTGTTTTGGTTTTGATCTGGTATTTTTGCTCTTCCATTCGGTGTATTCTTTTACATGTTTTTTTAACTATGCCCGGCCTGGCCCTTCATGCCAAGAATCCCTTTGTACAAAGCTGGCAAAAGGAAGCCCCTTTCCGAAGGCTCAAGAAGCCACATATAGGAAAAGTTCACTGGAGAAGCTGGGTCCAAAAAGGAGACAGCAAAGGCAGAGAGGCGCTTCTGCTTTGACTGCGGGGGCTGGGACAAAAAGCAGCTGGACTAACAAATGCTTCTTGAGGCAGCTTGGGGTGGCTGTGCTGGGGTAGCTGCAAATTCCTGGGGCAGCTTCACAGGGCTTGAGGCAGCTGTATCTTCCTGGGGCAGCTTTATGTGGCTTGAGGGAGCTGGGCTGGGCGGCTGCAGCTTCCTGGGGTGGCTTCGCATGGCTTGGGGCAGCTGTAGCTTCCTGGGGCAGCTTTATGTGCTTGGGGCAGCTGGGCTGGGGTGGCTTGGGGTGGCTGAGCTGGGGCAGTTGCAGCTTCCTGGGGTGGCTTTGTGTGGCTGGGCTGGAGTGGCTGCAGCTTCCTGGTGTGGTGTTACATGACTGGGCTGGGGTGGCTGCAGCTTCGTGCTGTGCTGCAGCTCAGGCTTCTTGCAGCCCCAGAGCCATGTGGTTCTGGGGCTGCTTGCCACCCTACAAGGCTGCGAGGCAGGGTTTAGGATGGCGAGAAGGGAAGAGATGGGGGGGAGATAGGCAAGTGGGGGGAGTTGGAGACATTCCCTTACCTTACTGAGGCTTGGGGCTGGGAGGGACCAGGCCTGGAATAGCTTGGATTGGAGTGGATCCTTGGCTAATGACTGGTGAAATTCGTTTTATGAAATTGCCAAGGTTGCGGTCAGTAAGCGATGCAGTCATGTGACATCTCGCTTTACGACCACATCGCTTAGTGACGGAAATGCCGGTCCCAAGTGTGGACTACCTGTATAACTAGCCTTCATTCAAGCAAGAAGTTGGTGAGAAAATATTCAGAGATCTTTAAAAAATCAATTGAAATTTTCCTGTCCTGGCTACTGTTGTCTTCAAGCACATATAGTGGCATGCACTTTCTTAGTGGCAGTACCCATATATGGATATTGGTGCCCCAAATAGATTATTTTTCTCTTTCTCTGCCAGCAAGTTGGAGACATTTCATTTTAAACTAGAATTTAACTCTACCTTTGCTTAATTTTATATATAGCTTATTAATTTTGAGGAAGGCTGAGATTAAGTTCTGTTACTTAATTTTCTGTATTATTAGCTTTGGGGAAGGCTTGTATTTTGGGGGGGGTGCTGTTTTATTTGTTGATATATTGATATTTTGTACTATAAAGATGTAAATTATTGGTACAGAATACAAAAGATTGTATTTTTGCTTCAAACTTGTCAATCATAGCTTTAAGTTAAACCTTAATATTCTCACATATCAGTGCCACTGGATCAGCATGTTCTTTAATCCTTTTCATACTTGAGATTTGATATGCTCTTTCTAAATCAGTTTGGATGAGGATATAGGAAGCATACTCACTTTGCTTAGGAGGCATTCTCATTTTTCTTTTAATTGGCTCTTATATTAGCAACATTCATAAGTGCTTTTAATCCTTAGTAAAAAGCACTATAACAGTTTCATTTTTTGTTAGTTATACAGCTATTCTAAACTTGCCTCACTTTTTCCCAATTATGAGAAATGCAAAGTGAAATGCTCCTGTCTATAATACTTGGGCATGTCTACAAATTAAATTTCAAAATACAGTACACCAAAGTTCCAGATTCCTCTGTTTCATGGAATAATATTCTGATTAATGACACACTTGGTTTTATAATTGTTATATGTTACAGAAGAAGGCAAATCCGGATTTGATTACTTCAGTTTGGGAGACAAACTTCTTGAAGATGGCTGCCTTCATATATTTTCATTGGGCTCTAAAGCATTGATGATACAAGTCTGGGCTAATGTGAACTCAGGAGCTTTCACATTTCGGTACTGTTATCTTGTTTTAGAGATGAATCTTGAAGCATTTGAACAAATCATTTATGCCTTTTGTCATCAGGGATTTGCTATACTATCCAATGAAATATTACCATGTTACCCTATAAAGTTACCATGATCTGTACTTATGTATATCCTAATTTTACCCTAAATTTATCCATGTTGAGTTCAAAGAAGGAGTCAAACACAATGAGTAAAATGATGTTTCTGCTTAATCAGTTTTAATTGGTAGCAAAATGTTATTGTTTGTGTTTTGCTAAGCGTTGCTGAATAAGAGAGTGATACAGCATAGAAAACATGATTCTCTAGACATCATGCAAAAGCCAATACTCAGTTAAATGTCTTTACTTGGTGCTAATGCCAATTTAGCTCAAAACACTGTAAAACGTTTGAAAGATATTTTGATAACTTCTTAGTGATTTTCCTCTTTTTTATTTTCATAGTATGTGTATGGATCCAAATGATGAAATGAAAGCTGGATTATTAGCACAAGCTGAAACACCAGACAATACTTTCCTTGTAGGCAAATGGCAGCATTTGGCACTAACATACACTGAACAACCAGAAAACAAGAAAAATATCCATGGAACTCTCTCTCTGTGGATTTGTGGTCAGAGGTATGTTTTCCCAAGATTATAAATAATATATACATGTAACAAAGGAGGTCATTAGAAACCTTGTCTATTCTTTTAAGATCTGACCTTATAAAAAAATAGAAATGCATACTAAGAATTGTTAATTACAAATAACAGAATCATTTCTCACCTCTTTCAATAAACCTTTGATGTATCAGTCTTGTATGCTTTAAATAACTTACAACTGACATTGTGGTTACCCTTACAACCACAGTTCAGTAGAGACTTTGTGATTGTGACATATATTGCACCATATGTGATAACTGATACTAAGATCTGCCACCCTACTGTTTGCACATAATTCTTAATGTACTTTAAATTCAACCTGCTTTTCCCTTGCTGAATTCTTAATCATCTGCAGATTCAGAACAAATTCAGGAAGGTACTGACCATATGTTTTAGCTCTGGAGCTCACAGAGGACATTTTCAGCAAATAAGAGCTTAAACAAAGCCAGTCAGTAGCTGAGTACAGAGAATGCCAGCCAACCAATAGTCATTCTTTATTTCTACTTGTTGAGTTTGCTGCACCCACTGCCAAGCTTCCAGTGATAAACTTTCCTTCTTCCTTCACAAGCAAGAGAAGTGAAAAAGTTTCTGGTATGTTCTGCCCCCAAACATAGCCCATCACATTTATTGATTTGATTTAAAACAAAAACAATATAAACATTAAAAATATAGATTGAAATTAAATAATAAAATAAAATATTAAAATCACCCACAAATTAAAAGACTGGCAAGGGAAGTATCTTTACACTGAGAGAGTGCAGATTATATGCAGCCCCTAAGATTGTACATTCCACATGCTAGAAAAATGAACTTCTGACAACAGTGCTATTGATTGCTGAATCCAGTTTCCTGTTTAACCAATAGCAACTCCATTTTGTCTGGATTTAATTTGATCTTGTTCTACATCATCTGGATAATTAACAAACAGGAAATAGTTAAGAGTATTGTTTGCTTCCTTTGGATTAAATAGTAAAAAACAATAGAGCTGGGTTTCAACAGCATATTGATCGTGCTCTGTTCCAAAGTTCTGGATGATTTCTCCCAGTGGTTTAATGTAGATGTTGATCAACATGGAAATAAGATGAAACCCTGTGGGATATCATAGTAGCTTAGATGTCAAACAGTAGTCCCCAGCACTGCCAGTAGGCTAAACAAGACCTCAATAGGAAGGATCAGAGCTACTGTAAAATTGCCCCCAAGTGCCAATCCTGCCAGGAGCTTCAGAAGAATTACCATGGCTAAACTTCCTTCATCCAGTATCCCACATAGCAGTTTCAGTATCATATCAGTCTGAAAACCTAATTGAAATGGATCTAGAAAATTCATGTCATTCAGATGCATGTGGAATTGCAAGACCATCACTACCTTCTTTATCAGCTTACTCAGAAACAAACATTTCAGATGGTTTATAATTGTACAGGTCTTCAGTAAACGTCTGATGACTGCATTTAGGCAAGGGAATATATTCCTCCTATAAAGAGGCATCAGGCATCCCTGTTAACCATGGGCCTGATTTAATCAACCTGGAGGGGCAAGAGTTGTGGCCCTCACCTCTCCACACATCCTGTCCACATTTTCAGGAGCTGCAAGCTGAAAAAAATAAAGTACAAGGCAAGTGGTTGCTGACATATCTCTATGACCTTTTGTAATTCTGACAGCTCCAATCAACCTTGTCTGCAAAGACAATGCAACTTGTTTAGAGCATGCCATTGCATGTTGTAGTTCTTATCCTTTGATTTCTTGGTAAAGGAAATGCCATACAGTACAAAAATTTGCCTATTCTGTATAAAAGCAGCAGACCCAGGGAAGTAAGCTTCTTTTATTGTTGCAGAGTAGGTGTTCAGATTCTGAGTTCAGATGTAGTCCATACACAATCTGATCTACCCAAGAGTCCCTCCACTGGCACTTTGAGTGATACCCTATCTACTTCCCTGGTAAATCAAGGTGATGATTTGGCTCCATGAAAAGGAAGAGGTACTTAAGAGCAATTGTGTCAACTCCTGGGCATTGACATTACAGGTAGTCCTCATTAGGGACTGCCTTGGACAGTGACCGTTTGCTGTTATGACAGTGATGAAGAAGTAACTTTGTAACAAATACATGCATTTACTACCTTTGCAGTGTGTGTGTGTATGTGTTTGTCTCAGGTGTTAGCCATTACAGTCAATAAGCACACATCCTCCTGTGCCTGACCCATTTTTTTCTCTCCCCCCCCCCCTGTGGAAAGATTGCCTGAAGAAGCTATCTCTTCCTGAGATGCTTTTCTCTGTATGGTATTCCTACAAAGTGCTAACTGCAACTTAACAAGCTCAGCTCTGTGACCTTAATTAGTTGATTAGAACTGGGGCTGCTGCCTGAAATTGACCAGATCTTAATCAGTTTCACACTGATTGCTTCTGTTTGCATCCTAAGCAGCTTGTGGCTTGCAGCCCTGAGTAGGCTAGGCAAAGGGCAGGCACTAGCGCATTCTTTTCAATGTGTATTCCCCATTGTGTGCCTGTTTACTCTCTTGTAATCCCTTCCTCTCCAATGAATGTAAATACAAAACATCAGTTCTCTTCTTGCTAATTATCCCAGTGCTGGGGTGAGCATTTCAAAGGGTGAGGGAGTGGGGGAAAAGGGCTATAACCCATCTTCCTTGTGAGTTGAGTTCCAGAAACTTGCTCTGCCATTTGGGCTCACCCGGCTGTTTGGGATCATATCCTTCTGATGCTGTAAAGCAAAGGAAAGCTGAATTAAAATTGTAAGCTCAGTTGTGGTCATGTGATTTCTCACTTAGCAACCACTTTGCTTAATGACCAAGTTGCTGGTCCCAATTGTGGTTGCTAAATGAGGACTACCTATATAGCTGAGAAACAAAATGGGAAATTCTTCACGTACATTTAGGAAACTATCAGGTGCCTGGATTGGACTGTTATGGATAAATTTTGTCCATTTGTCCTCACAGTAGTTCTTCTGTGTGCTTCACTGAGAATTGTTCTTTGGCAGCAGACAAGAACATCTTTCATATTTTTAATGGGATTGACATAAATAAGCTCTTCATTATTTAGTTGGTTGGTCAGTCAGAATTGGGGACTAACAGCAAATGTTACTGAAGAGATTGAAACTGCAGGTTCATGTGAATGGGATTTCTATGCTATCAACAGCATAATGCAGAGGAAATTTAGGGGATGATGAAAAGTGAGAAGATCTGTATCTTAGGTTTCTTGGGAGCTAAAATGTTGAATTACTACTATATAGCTATCTACTGCTTCACATTGGCCACTCCATTAGAAGCAGAAAAGCAGAATTTACTGATGCAGGTTACAGCAGTCACAACCCCCTAAGGCAGAAGATAAGGGATAGAAACTCTTGTAGAGCACTTCAGTTTTACTTAAATCTCTTTCTTTGCCACTTCCATTAATGGATGATAGATAATAGATAACATAAAGTCCTTATTACCTTTATTTGCTCAGTGAAATTGTTTAAGACATTTAAAAAGATTTATTTATTTATTTATTTATTTATTTTAGAAAACCTGACATCTGTTTAGATTATACACTTCCAAGAAAAATGAGTTTGTCATCTGACTGTAATAAGACATTCTGTATGACAGGCCATTATACATCATCCCAAGATGATTTTTTGCAGTTAACTGGGAGATGGAGCCTTGGAAATTTGCTTCTCTTCAATGGTATGTTGTAATTTTCTCTCTCTATAAATTGCTTGTCATCTTGTCCTGAATTTGTGCCTTATATTGGAATTGGTTTTAAGGCTTATTTACAATATTTATATCTTGCTTTGTTATAGAAATTCAGACTGTTTAAAATCAGGCAAGCCATTATTAGACACACCAGAAATCTAGGAACTTGATTTTATCAAATGGTTATAATAAAAATATTAGAAGATATAAACTGCAGACCAGTTAATTATAGTTATGTTTTTAAAAATAGAATGGCTTTTTATAGTAGTAGACTTTACAGAAATTCATTTATATTTATTCATTTATAGCTCAGTTTTCTTTGGCAAAACAACAGGGCTCCCTTGACTGTTCTGGCTTCTCAGTCCCTTGACCAAGAATGTTTAAGCTTCTCAGTCCCATTCCCTTTCCTTAGTCATCTTTAAGTATATCAACCATGGAAGTATTCTATATCATTTGATGGGAAGAAATTGTAGGCATATCATTTTGTTCATGTTCTGATTTTCCTGAAGCAACAGTTTTAGAAAGTGGTGCTAGGCAGCATTTCACAGCAGTAAAGGGCTGTGGAGTTCCCAATACTTGTCAACATCTACATGACATTGTAGAGAGAAGTCTTCCTAGGATCTGAATGATGATGTTATCCATATATAGTCAATGTGACGCTTTCTTATATTCCAGAGGAGCTGTTTGGAATCACTACTTGATAAGTATTGCACTTGAATAGGAATAAACCAAAGAAAGTTTAAAGGAAAGATGGGTAGAAATATTTATTAGAAAAGTTTAGGAAAATAGTTTCTACAATATGGAATAACACTTCAAGACTCAGGTTTTCAGTATGGGAAAATACTTTTGGATATTCAGGTCATCTGAAATGTTTTTATCTAGCTCTGGCCATGTCAGCAACTGCATTTTGTTTCTAGAGAAAGGAAATCTAGCACTGAGATTGGACTATTGTAATATAGACTTTTGAAAAGCATTTGGAAATTTCCCAGAAGGTAGACAGTAGAGCAGAATCAGCTTCCTCTGTACCTAAGCTGAATTCAGAACTCTGCTTATGGGAAAATATTTGAAGGACTGCTTCTCACATGTACCTGAAAAAGCACTAAGATCAGCTCTCCTCCATGTCCCAGTGTCAGGTATAAGATTTATTACAGTGTGCAGGATAACCACATTATCTGCTTATGCTATGGAATTCTTTAAATGGGAATAATTCTTCCTGTTCTGTGAAGATTTTCTGTTACCTTGTTAAGACGTTTCAGCATTTAGTCTCATGAGTGCTTAATGTATTTATGCTCCTGGGTATGTCAGTCAACAGTTAGTTGCAGTTCATTTAGTTTTTAAAAAAATTCTTATATATTTCAGTGAGCCATCTCAAAAGCTTTTCTCCATCCTAGAAATAGAAAAGCAGCAGGATATGAGTTTTCCTAAGAAAATTAAATGCTGCTTTCTTGAAAATGGCTGATAAATGGTGATACCAAAGAAATCATCAGGGGAAGCTTCAGAGTGAGGTCATGAGTTTTTCCCAGAGTCACCATGGCATTACAGAGTTAAACACAATGTTTTTGTTCTTATAATTTTACTGTAGGGAGTTTTGACAGATATTTGAGAGCTGCTTCTATTTAAGGTTTAATTCGTCATTGTCATCCCTCAACCAAGTGCTTTTACCATGTTGATAAAAACTTCAGTTATACTATAGGCTTGTGTTCATATTACATTATGTATCACACATATTTAGCTATAGTAATATAAGGAGCAATGTAATGTATTAGCCTGTAACAGATGGATTTCAGCCTCTGCAAGTCTTAGGAATATACTTATTTTGAACACTGCATGCTTTCATGTATTCTGTGGCTAAGCTACTTTACTTTCTTAAATGCATCTTATCTTACCCATGTGAGAACATTATATAATCTTTCATGCTGACTTATTAACTCAGTGAAATTTCCAGGAGTATGTTAATTCCACATTAATATAAATATACTTTATTTACATGAAGCAGCATGTATTAAAACACAATGTGTGGTGTGTTTGTTTTTTGTAGGTGCAACAATTGGTCCTGAAGAAGCATTTTATCTCTATGCTTGTGGACCAGATTTCACTTCTGTAATGCCATGTAAATATGGCAAATCAGTAACTAATTATTCCAAATATATAGATAAAGAGATTCTACAGTGTGAACAAATCAAAGAACTTCTGATGACAAAAAAAGAAGTAGACACTGGGCCTTTAATTGTAAGTTTATAATCCTGGTACTCAATATCTTCAGTGTGGCAATTTAGGCTAAGGCACCACAAAAGATATATCATGAATAATGAAGTTGAATCAAATGGAATATGTACTTATGAAACAGCAAATACATTTTATTATCTGCTTTGGAATAGTTTATTTCTGCTTGATTTCAGACATCTTGAATAACAATAATTAGGGTTGAACACCAATTTAGAACATGTATTGGAGTGAAATTTTAAATATTACTAGAGAAAAAGAGTGAGAAATAAACTCCTTTGCTGTGAAGTTTCTTAATGTCATGAAGCCATTTGGGTGTGGGAAGGACCATATTTCTTTCGGAAGCAGTCCTGATTTCCTATCTTGGACATTAGCTACTCTGGCCCCAGATTTGGTCTGGGGGAGTAGATGAGTCTAGGAAGACCAACAATTTGTATAAATGAAAAAGGGAGGGTGAGATAGAATGAAATACAGTGAACACATCCTTCTGATAACTTAATCCTGTTAATCTCCCACAGTTTCTCCCTTCTTAAATGTTGTCTATTATATTTCAGGAAAACCTTGCTACAGTTTATACCACTTGCTGCCCTGGTTACTACACAATCTATGATCCAGTAATCACACTTAAAGGTCAAACGAAAAGCATTCCTTCTCAGCGACCTTTCAGTTCAAAAGAAGTACAAAGCAATTTATCAGATCCTCATTATCTGAAAATGCTACAGCCTGCTGAATACAAAGGTCTCCAAGGCATACTTCATGAGATTGGTGGAATTGGGTCGTTCATCTTCCTTTTTGCCAGAGTAAGATGTTGAAAAATTATATTAGTATATTTATGATAGACCTTCAGGAGTTTTGTTGTTGCTAGGGTATGGGAAGCATCAGTATAAAAAGAGTATTCCATAGAAATAGGTGGCTTCCAGAAATTACTCTTAACATTGCTCTTCTGCTGTAAGATGCCAGTGACACTGAATTTTCACATTGTGTATTCTATTTTTGTGTATTCATCCTGCTGTGGTCTATCATGATAGTGGGTGAGTGTGGAAAAGGAACGTCCAATTCATTGGAGTGCTAATTTAAACAAAAATCCAAGCAATCATTTAAAAAATAAATCAGTGTTATTTATTTGTTAGATTTATATCCCACCTTTCTTGCAAGAGATGCAATGGTGAACATAGTGCTTCCACCTTCTTTTTAACCCCTTAAAAACAGACATCAGAGGTAGCTTGGGCTATGAGACAATGACAATCCAAAATCACCTAGTGAGGGTGGACTTGAAACTGGGTCTTTCTTTTCCTAGACACACTGGTCAGTGACCATAATAAAGTTAATAATTGTTTAAAGACTTTATAATTTATTTGAAGCTCCCAGGATTCTCTGAACTGCTGTATAAATAGTTGCTATTGTATGTATTATTTATTAAGTTAAATCCCTGTTTCAAGAATGCATTGTGCAGGTTTCATCACAAAACAACCCGTCTGATGCAGTTATACATGCATCACTTGTTTTGACAAAATGGGTGTACTACTAGTGTTTGAAAGTAAAATATCTACCAGAAATTTGTAGTCAATAAAATTAGCTACATCTTGTGTGGCAAGTCACAGTTTGTCAAAAACACTTCATTTCTTCAATGACATATTGGCTTATTTTTAGGTTGTAGAGATCAGCAGTTGTGAAGAAACACAAGCTTTAGCTCTGAAAGTTATCCTTGTCTTAACAAAACACAATCAACAGAGAATACATGAGTTAGAAAACTGCAATGGTTATTCAATGATTCATCAGGTGTTGATAAAGTCAAAGTGTATTGTTGGATTTCACATTTTGCAGGTAAGATTCTGTACTTTCAATTGTCTTGGCAAGATAGTTAATACAATTTTCATAAACTATGTTTGCCCCCGTTTTGAACGCTTGGGACTGGTATCAGCAAAGACACATATTTTATATCAATCTATTTTATGATCATTAAAATAAATTATTGCAGCCAGATAGACATACCATTAAGTTTAGAGCTAAAACTCTAATAAGAGTTAAATACCCAACAATTACTATAATTTTTGCTGGAGCTTGTGTTCTTTGAAAGGAGGTATCAGTGTTAGTGATGCAGTACCCAGCATGTACAAATTCTGGAAGATATTTTTAAAAGATTTTCAATTCAAAATGTTTTTACATTTTGAAAGACTCTCCTTGAAGGATGCTGTAATGAGAAAATGATCCATCTAAATGAGAATGGACAATTCATACTTGATGTGGAATCTAGAGCAATAATCCAGGATGTTAAATTGTTGGAAGAGCTACTGTTTGATTGGAAGATATGGTCTAAAGCCCAGGTAAGTTACATTAATCGGAAAACAACTGCTTTGTAACTAATGGTAAAATATTATCGTGCCCAGGATGAAACGTCTCTTTATACTGTTCAGAGTAAAAGGGTTATTAGAAAGCTGCAGACCTTCTGTTGGTCATTCCCCTTGTCTCCTAATTTTCACCAAACCCTTAAAACTATAGAGGCCCCATGGGAACTTAATTCATAAAGAGTTAGACATAAATTTCAGTTGAAAAGAAACTATTATTACACTGCATTCAATCTTTGTTCCCATCTGCTACTCCTTAGCTGTGCTAGCTAAGTTAGTCCATGTGCCTTTAGAGTCACGTGGTACAATTCTGTAATGGAATGTAAAGGCTTTTGCCATCCTCACCTCACAGGAGTACACCAGTTGATACTCCAGCAGCTCAAGGGTCTGGGCTTCTTTTCTTGAAACAACCAATGGATCAGGCCCCATGTGCATCTTTAACTTGTCAGGAACCAAATGTATGCAGGACAGATGGGCATATTGGGAATCCACAGACTAAGCATCTGGAAAACAGAGACAATAGGCTGAGGTTTTCCATCTCATTGTAAATGTTGCAATAGTAAATTGTGTGTTTGTCGGGAAACAGGAGGAATTTGTTCTTCATTTTATTCATTAACAGCAGACAAATGACAAGGAGAAAGAGAAAAGTTCCTTCTTTGCATGTAGAATACAGGCTCATGCATCCCCGAAGCCTTGTATGCAACCTATCCAGAAATGGTTGCCAAATGGCAAAAAGGACATTTCTAAATACTGTTCTAGGTCCAACGCAGCAAGTTGTGGAAAGCAGCTCCATGATCATGAAGTTGCACACAAGTGTGTATATAGTTTCATGCAACAAAGTGACATCTCCATTTTCACTACAGTTTGTATGGTGACTTGCTTTTAACTTAATTGATTTTTATGTCTGCTTATGGTATTGCTATTTTGGTTTCTTTAGCAAGGGGTGTGGAAAACACTGTTATCAGCTCTAGAAACACTTATCCAAGATAATCACTGGCAACAGCTATTTAACATTAAACAACTTCTTAAAGCTCGAGTTGTGCATCATTTCTTGAGGACATGTCAAGTTCTGCAGGTACCATGCCATTTTTTAATTTGAATATGATAATCATAATATGTAAGAGAAGATGTGTGTGTGTGCGCGCGTATGAATGATTCATAGCTTTTGATAATGCTTTTCTATATTTTTTCTTCCCCAAATCTTTTCTGTCCTTTTCATATATATATTACGAATAAGAATTAGCTAGAACTTCATCGTAAGCAGAAGCTGTTGACTACTGAAATACATCCTTATTTTCCAACTCAGTTTATTGCTGCCAGTCTATGTTCTACCTGGCAAATACCTTATATACTGTTATTTTGCCACTGGCGCAGCATCATGAAGGTGGATGGCAAGAACCTCGAAGGGCTTTCAGCTTTGCAAGTCCTTTAGTCCCTTCGATCTCATTGGAATCAGCTTCACAAAAGCCCACTAATATTAGTTGACATTCATATCTAATTCTTTGATCCTAGTTTCTTGGGAACAGTAAAAAAGAATGTTGTTGTTGTTGTTGTTTAGTCGTTAAGTCGTGTCCGACTCTTCGTGACCCCATGAACCATATTGCGCCAGGCCTTCCTGTCCTTCACTGCCTCCCTGAGTTTGCTCAGTTTCATGCTCAT